TGCAGAGAAAAGTTAACCTGGCAAGAGCCAGATTGATGATTGTGTAGAACTCTAATGCGTTCTCCACAATATCAATCTGGGACTTCTGCAGGAGAATCCTTTCGGGAAAGGAGGGATAAGCAGCAGAATACTTCAAGCTGATTGGGCGAAGTGACGCTGTGTGCCCGCCTACCAAGGTTTGACTTAAACCAATCCCGGTAACATCTTTGCCGTCCAGAAATGCACAACGCGCCTCTCGCTGTTCATCTTTCAAAAAAGAAATGGGAGATTCTGCTAAAACTGACTTGATAGTCTCAGCTACGCGTCCGTTCTCCTGCGTAGCCATGTTTGTTTTGCCTGGTGCACACTAGGGTAGTCTTGCACAGTTTTTCCAATGTGGTTTTACTGCAAATGGCAAATAAATTCTTGTATCTTATAATTGTATAAATACTTTCATTATTCTTACAACTCATATAAGGTGAGGTAAAGCAGGTGTAATAGTGCAGAAGGTTTGAGGAGGTATCAGCAGACTCTCTGGATGGTAGAAGCCAATAAGCCTTTTGTGTGTGTTTGAGCCTTATTAGCTTTGTGCTTGTGTTTGGTGCTGTCAGCTCTCTCCTTGGATCTCCCCAGAGCAGAGCGCTTAGTTCAGACTGGAGAAGCCATGTCCAACTCGACCTCAGCCCTGCGCTTTATCCAGCTGCACTTAATTTACTCACACAGATAAAGAAGACAATGCTTTTGAGCCTGCCTAAAATCTTCAAAAAAAGGAGGTACAAAAGAGGGTTGTACTGATTTAACACATCAACATTTGAAGCTGAAATCTAAAGATAAATCTAATAAAAAGGTATAATATTAGGGCACGTTACTATTAATGCAACATTTACAAAAGCACCTATTTTCATGTAGCAAGTTTTATACTTTTGGGAGGCGATAAGCAACCTTTGGTCTCTTCTTTTATCTTGTAAAATTCCCTCTCCACTTTGGCTTCTCCCAGCTTTATTTGCATTGAATACAAGAAAGGGATCTCCTGTTGCTGGCCTGACAGATGCAAGAATATTGGTTGCTACAAATTTGCTGTCTCGCCATCACCTAGAAACTTTGTACTACCTATTTGTTACATTAAGATCTATACAATATGAATATTCCCCTGAATTAGATTGCTGTACAATTAACAGGTTGCTTGGAGGAGAGTTGATAACACATTTTCTTTTCAAGCGCCGCTGTCCTTTGCTCCTTAAAGCGTCACTATCTTCAGTCCTGAGAGCAATATTTCTCCCTGAAATTAAATTTGTCTCCTGTGGTTGATTTATGAAGGCCTGTCCAGTGGCGGCTACGTCTGCAGAGTACCCCAGTGCACAGAGCCGTGTGGTTAGACAGGACACTGATTCAACGAAACAAGGCCAGCTTTTATCTCTGCAGGTGGTGAAGAGGACAGTAAGTTCAGTTGGAATAACACTAAATATTATAACATTATTATTATTTATTATTATTATTAACAATGATAATAATAATGCATACATTTTTGGGACACTGAAAGACACTTCACATGCCATGTTCACAGGTTGTGAACAATTAAAGCCACAGCTGCCCTGAAGCAGACTGACAGAAGCGAGTAGGCCTTGTGTGCCTCCTCCCTTTAAAAGGAGAAGGCTCCACCTGCACCACCTCTTTGCCTGCCTTTGACGTCACCGCTGTCCCACGCGCAAGGTCAGCTTTTAGCTCCCACTCTGATCCAGAAACCCAGCTCTCATCGGCGCCAGGGGCTGCACGTAACTTTTTACCGGCTGCTGTGATTTTGCACTTAACGCACATTGAAGCACTTTATGCAAATGCTCTTTAAAGTGAGTTAATCTGGGGTCATTGTGTTTGCATATTGTGGATAAATGTGTTGTATTTGAACGCTTTTTAAAGATAATGTTAAAATAACTAAATAAACCTTGTAATCCTTTTTCTAATTTTGTCTGTCCTTCAGTAACTTACCTGTGTTAGCCTTAACCTTTTATTTTTCCTTCGGGATAGCGTTCTTGGCAACAAAACAAAATAGTATAGTATTTAATACTATCCACGCATCCCAGTAACTTGCATATGCTCGCCACACACTTGGCATTGTTGACAGGATAAAACATAAGAGTATTTAATAATATCCACAAATCCCAGTAATTTACAGCGTCAATTATGACTATCATGAACCCAGCACACCTCAGAAGTTAAGCAGGGCAGGGCTTCGTTAGTGCATTTGTAGTTTATCACCACCGTGTATAGAGTGGATGAATAATGCCGTGTGAAGTGTCTGAGTGTTCACAGAAGTGCTATATAAAACCGTTGCATTGTTATATTTACTCTTCACTTTTTATCAAAATAAATGTCCAGCTGTGTTTTAGTTATGAGTTTATAATGCCTTCCGCCTTTTGCTGAATACCCCAGATTTTGCTGATCCTTTTCACTTTTTTGCATTGTCACACTGCAAAAGCATGAGCAGAGGGCAGGTACAGTGCGTTCTGCCTGAGAGGCGGAAACCTTTCAAAACATAAACCTTTTGACATTAATTACAGATTTAAAGCCTGGAAGGTGACAAGTACCAAGTGCAAACCATTCACAAAGTGTTTGATATGTTTTGAGGTCATCACAGTTGATGCACACGGACATTGAACAGGACTTTACTGTAAATGGTTTGAATAGGACTCTTCAAGCCCCTACAATGAAAGATAACTAGTGTGGGAGTAGGATGATGGCAGCCTTTTGAAGAGGGGAAACTGACAGTAGATGCTGATGGTTGTAAAGAAACTAAAAATACCATGGTAATAGAGTTGTAATAGAGTTTTAATAGAGTTCTGAACACTTGATTATCTTAAAACGTATCGAGTGGTGGTCCGAGTGTCTGGTCCTCTCCCATCTCAACCCCCTGCAGTTCGCCTATACAGAGCCAACAGATCTGTAGACAACGCCATAAATCTATAGCCCTCCACTTCATCCTGCGGCATCTGGACTCCCCGGAATCCTACGCCAGGGTCCCGAATGTGGACTTCTGCTCTGCCTACAACACCATCCTGCCATACCTGCTTCAGCACAAGCTCTCCCAGCTCAACGTGCCCGACTCCACCCACAGATGGATCACTGTGGGCACCTTCTAACTTATTTCCACCGAGCGCCAAAGAAATGTCCTAGTTAGTGACTTCTTGTTACTCACAATGGCAATGATTCTGATATTCACTTATCTTGTGTGCTCCTTATTCCTACTGTTCTGTAACTTGCGATGAAAAATGAGTGAAATTTCCTCACTATGAGACTGATGCAATTGTCAAGTTTTCTATGACATAAGCTAATTCTGAGAAAGCTGTGTAAAAAGCAATTTACTGTTATTCATTGTATTCAAGATGAACTGAGATCAAACAACATGTACTGAGAAACACATAGAGTAACATTTAACCACATATTCTGATTCAGTACATGTTTTTACCCCAGATCTTGGACTTTGCATTGCAACCCTAGAATCACAAGATAGCCACGAACATATTACAACCAAGGCTGTTTGAACCGTTTAGATAAAGAGCCATTTGCTGAAATATAAGGAAGTTGGATTGAAATACCAAACACTAAACAATGCAAGGAGCACTCTAAAGCTCATTTCAAAATATTAGATTTTGTAGTAATGTCATAAAAAGCACTACTTGTCACTTGATGACAACCATGATGCCTCAGGACCAATGTCAAATGCTTTGAACGCTGCAACTTTCCAAGGGCCATAGTTTGGACAGGTCTATATGCCAGATTGGAAAACAACATCGTCACTGCTGCAACAATGAACCCTGGACTGCCTTATCTTATGGCAGGTCATTGAAGAGGCATTGTCCTATGAGAGAGACACGCTTTGGTGAACACGGCTGCAATTTGGACTCCACTTTTGGTTACAACACAATCCGCTATAAACCACCTGCAGAAATGAAGGCCAGACACTTTTATGCAATATGCACAAATTGCTTATTGGCCTATTGATCTCTAGAGCCTGCGGGCTCCTCTCACTGTGGCCAGATGCTGCTAAGTATCAGACAGAACAGTGAAAATGACTAACGCACTGACCAAGAGGCTTTGGAGTGCTGCAGCTGTCATTTATCAACATGTGAACCTGCAGAGAAGTGATGAAATTCAAATTTGAAGCACAATAAGAAACCTTGTTTATTTATTTGGCATTTTAGCACTTACAATGTACCACAATGATACCAGTAGGTGAAAAGCAAAAACAGTTGTTGCAGTCTTACTTACAAAATAGGAAGTGTATAAAAACAATGATGTGGTGTATGATTGGTGAGGCTGAAAAATAAAGAACTTTTGATGTTGCCTCTGAAGGCAGATTCTTCTACAATTTCACATACAAAGGCAGAAGGGAAAAAAAATAGTTGTACAAAATGGTGTGGTTCTGGCTGGTCGGGCAATATTTGATGGGGACAAGGTATGAACATGAATCAAATATTTCCTGTACATCATAGCATCTATAGTATACTGTACAAGGCCACAAACATAGCAAAAAATAATAGTTAGAAATAAACTACAGCTAAGAATATGTAATAATAACAACTCATATTGTGCAAGTGGGAAATGTACACCTTTCAAATGAACCTGAAAGTTATATTTATTTTGATCTCCATAAGAAGTGTAACAGCAATTCTTCCTGGAGTCTTGGCATCAGCAGGGTGCATTTACATGAATATATTATTGTATTATACCATGTTTGACTTCTGAAGTGTCTCAACTATAATTTAGCCCACAATTTAGCCTGCAATGAACTGCCCAGGATGTCCGTTTTATGGCCCTCTTAGATCACGGCAGACGATATCCTTTTGGTTTGGGGCTGGAAGAACAAATCAAAGACATTCTCTTAGATAAATGTAGTAAGATACACAGCAGAAATGAGTGTAACAGAATAATACAATTTATGATGATTTTCTCTGGTCATAGCCTGTAGCTTTACATTATACAGTATTGGTTTTTCCTGAATGAATGGAAATAATTGGGACACGTACTTTTTACACTGGCAGAGTCGTCTGGGTCGTCTCTGTCGTCTTGTTCTCTGCCACATCAAACAGAAACAAATTGTTAAAAAGTTAATTATATCAAGGTTATTTACCCCTTGTCTGTTTTGTGGGGTGACAATGAGAAGCCTGGGTCTGACATGGACCTGTGAACTGGTTGCCCTCGGCCCAGAGCTGCACCCCCGGTCAGCACTAGATCATATACGGAATCGGGACGGAAGCGGAAGTAAATATGACAAAATACCTGTTCATGCCTAAACTTAACCAGCCATTCCCATTAAATAACCCCAACCCAGCCTTAACCCTAACCATAACCATCTTAATCAGACGCCTAAAACTTAAACAGTCACCACTTAAGGACTTATTAGTCTAAAACTAATTCGAAAGTAGGATTGTTACTTCCGGTTTCGTCCCGATTCCGTATATGATCTAGTGCCGACCCTGCACCCCCTCCTTGCCTGGGAGCCTCTTCAGTCCTGGATCTACAGCCTGTCTGTGGGAGCGGACAGGCAGTAGAATTTTTACTACTTCCTTGTTGATGCAGGAATGTTTAAAGACAGTGATGATCCAGGATATTTTGAGCATTTAAGCACATTTGTGGAGATTTTTGAATATTAACAGACATTGGTCATCTCGCCTCCCAATGGAACAATGGCTCCTTTATGTTTCTCAATATTTCTTTTCCTGCGTTATTATTCAAATCAATTTAATGTAAGTTATTTTTGTATAGCCCAAAATCACAACAATAGTTATCTTGAAGGACTTTGCAAAGCTGGATTTGCCAAAACAGAGCAGAGAATCAAACCGTTCAAAAACAAAAATTGATTTTCTCACTTGGCAGATTTTTTTCTCCGGGACCAATGCTGTTGTAATCACGAAAATAAATGTAATGTGTTTTTCAATTATGTCCAACATGAATGATTTAGATTTGAGTAGTTTTTACAAGTTAAAGCTGGGGTACTGTTTTCCTTGCCTGTACTAAAATATATAATTTTGATAAATCAGAGTACAACATGCTGTCAAATTACAAAACAAGCTTTCTACAATATATTCTAGCCACATGTGATTTACTAAAATTATAACTTAAATAACATTCTAATGTCACTTTATCACAATTATAAAACACATTAGCCCCAAGAGTCACCATTTCCCACTTTGGGCTGAAAGCTTATTGACTGTGAGGGTGGTCTCCTTTTCTTATTTCTGTCCATAAGCTATATTAGCAAGTAGCAAATAAGTAATCTTTATTTATATAGCGCAGTTTTACAGAGCAAGGTCACCCAAAGCGCTTTACAATGTTCGAGTTCAGATACTGTTCCAGTTATTCCACACACGGTGATGACGGAAGTGAGACGCCGAACACACTGGTTCATAAAAGCCCTGACCAACACCATCCATTCACTCACTCATTACATTCATACCTATTGTGCTTGTTTTTAGTGGTAGGGGAAACCTTTGCAGACACAGAGAGAACATGCAACACAGGGAGAACATGCAAACTCCACTCAGAAAGGGCCTCTTCCAACCGGAATTCAAACCCAGGGCCTTCTTGCTGAGAAGCGAGACTGCTATCCACTGCTAGCCACCGACAAATAGTCACATTCGTCTTAAATGCAACAATTTAAGACAAAGAAGCCTTAAAAAGTGACTTCTTTGTCTTAAATAGTTACATATTTTGTAACGATCAGCTTTAAGTTTGAGTTGTCTATTATGTTCTGGTGTAAGGATGCTGATACCTGTCTGCGTCGCTGAACAACCACAAACAGAACGATCAGCAGAATTAAAATGGCCGCTGCGATGAACACGGTCAGCCACCTCCACACATGGCTGTTTTCCACAGGGTCTGAACAAAACATGAATTAAATATAATTAAATACAACAATTAAATATTTTGAACACTATCAAATTCATCATATATCTTCCATCCTGAGCAAGTCACAATTTCAAAGTTTTTGTTATTGCTAAATCCATTGTGTTAATTGACCCATAGGTCCATGTTCCTGCATTGTTTCAGACTTAGAAACACAATCTGCTCAATGGAAAACAGTGCCTTACAAAAGCGTTCACCTCTAAATATAACTTCTGCACATTTTGTCACATTACAACCACAAACAGAAATATATATTTTTACATATCGTACATAAAGACCACAACAAAGTAGCATATAACTGTGAAATTAATTAAACACAATGATACATGATAATTACATGATACACGAGTCTACTTAACTTAGTGTGATTGCACCTTTAAGATACTTTCTGTTTATTATCACAATATAAGACTAGACTACAAATTATATTACACAATATTGACTTGTTTTTTATTCTCCTCCTATGTAGCCATATAGATAGCCATATTCTATCTAAAAAAGCATTGAAATAAGGTTTTTCCTCTGCCTATAGGTACTGTCTGTATACGTCCGTGCATCATATCTGGCATATTTCCTGCCTCTTGTTTTTCATTTCCTGCCCTCACCGATTCTCAGCAGCAGCTCAGCAGACGTAAGCAACTCCTCTCTCCTCCACAGATCACATCTCCAAGTGCCGCTGTCAGCCCTGCCCACACGAGGGATGTGAATGTGGGCAGATGTGGAGGCAGCGGGTAGGGAAGACTCAGATGGGGGAAACCACAGCACTCGGAGGTCGGGCGGCAGCGACCGACCCGTTGTACAGATCAGTTTCAGATGCTGGCCCTCGGTCAGCTGTGTTCCAGGTGATGCCAGGACTACAAAAGACACAGCAAATGAGGGGACTAATATTGAGGAACTAAACAGTGGGTGTGATGGAAACATGTCAAAGGATTTTCTCAGGTAGATTATTCAAAGAAGCAGTCTTTTGTGCTACTAGGTTTAGGGAGGTGCTGCATTTAACCACAGAAACAGGCAACCCAAATGAGAGACTCATGTGATGCCAATTCTGCTTTCTTGTTGACCTCATTCCAATTGAGGATCGAATTTAAAATGTTAACATAAATAATGTGGGCATCAGGTCTTGCGTTGTAAGTAAGAATACGGTAAATCAGCATCTAAATGTATTTTAGTTTAGCATTTTTTATTTAATTTGAATGTATTTATTTATTTTATTCTAATGGGTTTTGATGCTGAATATGTTTCATAACCACATGTTCCACACTACAGCGTGTGAGCCAGACTGTCCCAAATTTCAGATTCAGATTCATATTCATTTATTTGCAATTTGCAGTAAAACCACATTGGAAAAACTGTGCAAGACTACCCCAGTGTGCACCAGGACAGAGGCAACGGCACACAGTACAAATACCTGCAGTCTCATTCTAAGATAAGGCCAAATGATTTGTGTGTGTTGACCGTCTGTCTGAGTTAAAAAAGATACAAATGTAATGCACATTTTACTCTCTGCCCTTTTAATTATGCTGTACAAAGTATGTCAAAGCACTCCCCTAAACCCTTCAGCAAATCATTATCATTCGCAATACAGACACATGAATATTTGTTCACAAAGCAGCTTTTATACACTGTAGGGTGGATAACCCCTGCAGCAGCCAATCAGCACTCAGCTTAAAGAGTTATAGTTGCTTTAACAGCAAAAATGGCAAGACTCCAAGAAGAAAAAAATCAAGTCAATTCACGGTATAGAACCCATTCATTGGATCGATAAAAACTTTTGAGATGGTAGACTATTGATGTATTGTAGAAAAGATTAAAACAAAGGGGTTCCAAGTCTAAAAAATAAAAATAGTTACTGTTCCCTTGTTATGTTGTTATTGGCAAAAACAAATAAATCTAGGGCAAAAAAAGAAACGTTGTATTGCGCCACAAAAGACCTCTGCTCATTGTACATTAATTGTGTATACACTTATATGGACTTTGTGAGATTAAAGCCTTCGTGTCTGTCTGTTTTCTTCTGTTTTGAAACAAAGTTATGTTAATACCCTCATAAGTCCATTGTGAACCTTTTTAACAAGCCTGCAGGCATGATCACAAAAGCTTGTTGATAATGTGGTGACGACTAAACACAAGAAATCACATTATTACATTAAAATAGCAGACCCCTAAATCAATTTGGAAATCCATTATTTTGCCACGTCCTCAGGCAAAGAAAAAGCTTATTAAACCCCATTAGGACAAGTGGAGCTGGACGGTGTGTTAGCCACTGGATTAACAGACGCCACACTGGGACCCTTCACACAAACAGTGAGGACGGGAGCTAAGCAACAGCATCTGCTTCTGCATAATGAGCTACAGCAGCGTGAGGCTCATTTAGGTTCAGGTGTTATCAGAACGACCATATATGTTACTACTTATATGTACTTATAGTCAAAATTGTATTCATATTTTTTATGCATGCCTTCATATATACTTTTCATAACTGACAACTTCCTGTTACTTACAGTGGAAATAAAAAAGATTCCTAATTCTGATTCAGATCATGGTTGCAGAGAGCAGATTATTTTCATACGTGCCAAAAAGATTTGTGTAAAATTTCCAAATCCTCCATGGATCACATATTATGAACCAAAAACTAGAAGATAACAAATTGAAATTCAATAAAGAAAGTTACTGAACAAAAATTTAAGGAATATATTCAATATGATCATGCAATTTAGTCGGGATATAACAAAAACAGAGGTGTAGCCATGAAAAAATACAAGCTAATTATATAGCGCTTTGGCGGTGTTGAACAACTGCTCCCTGGGTAGACTGATGAGAGCCAGGCAACCACTCTGAGCCATCAGCACAAAGCAATGTGGGAGAAGTGTCTTGCCAGAAGACACAATGATAGGTCAGCACTTTAAAGCCGCAGCCGCCCCACTGTGGCACCTGGTGTTTCCATAGGTCTCCCATCACACTATTATTCAGGCCCTGCCCTCCTTAGCTTCTGAGATCTGATGGGAAAAAGCTTACACGTGTAGGTTGCACAACAAAATGATGCCATAATAAACTGTAAACTTCTTCTAGTCCTATGAAGCGATTTGACTCTATAATATATGTATAATATGAGTATGTGTGTCATTAATTGTGTTCCAGTATATGACTGGTCGCACAATATTGTATTCAGAGTCACTAGTATATAAATAAAGTACACTAAAATAACTTCTAATGTATTCTTATACAGTAACGCCATCTGCTGGTGTTTGGAAACCAAGAAAATAAAAATCCACATAAGGCATACTCAGTTATACAGAAGTTATTTGTCAACTGTTAAATAACATTGTGAAGACTTTTTCCCATTTGTCAGATGCAAGATTTGTTTTAGCTATGAAAATGATTGTAATCTCTCCTCATTCATTTTGAAACTAGTGTAAATACATTTTTTTTTAAAAATGTAATTATAATATGGCTTCCATGACACCAAAGAGCTTCACATTGTATAACTCAACCCCTCCGCACAGTGGTTGTGAACCACTGCTGTAGCCACAACTGCCTTGAGACAGACGAAGCTGCCAATATGCGTCATCAGCCCCTCAGAACAATCAATTACTCACGCATCAAAGGGTGTAGCACTTCATTTTCCTCAGCCTGTTTGCAAAGTATGCAACATCTGTAATAAAACATAGGTCGCCATATACCTACAATAGCCAAAGTTTATTTGGCATACAAACCCTTTAGTATCAAGATGGAACTTTTTCTCTACTCACTTTGCAGAACTTCTAATCGCACCGTCCTGCTCAGAATGGCACCGTTCTGAAACTTCATGAAGCACTCGTAGTCTCCCGCGTCCTCTGTGCGCCCCAGTCTCCTGCCCAGAGACAAGTCCCCATTTCTGGGGTTGGTAGCGGGCTGCAGCATCCCTTCTGTCTGCCTCACCCAGGTCTGTTTACCCACCTCCAGAGACAGTGAGAGCAGACTTGATTGATCACACAGGGGCGTTGGGGGGTAGAAGTTCCAGCCGACTTGGAGGACGCCCTTGGATTGAACCTCTTCCCAGGAGGTGTTTGCAGACAAGGAGCAGGGAACAGTGACGGGGCGGCTAGTGGAGGTGAACTGAGGCAAGACAGGAGCTGGAGGAAGCAGGTCTGAAACCAAAAGAAGTATAATATTTATCAATAAAGCAAAATATATTGATCAAAAATATAAATGCAGCACTCCCACTTCTCTTGGGTTCGACCTAAAATGATATATAGGCTATAAAAAGCTATCAGATATAGTTCACAAATCTCGCTTGTTTCAGGAAGCACTTATTCCTAATTCAGACAATCCATCTCACCTCTGGGGGGGCATTTGAAGATGGTGATGAGCATGAATACTGTGCCTAAGTGTGCCTTGTGGCAAGAGCTCTGCCGTGTACCTACTCTGTCTGGTGCACACTGGGGTAGTCTTGCACAGTCATTCCAATGTGGTCTGACTGCAGATGGAAAATAAACTGAATCTTGTGCTGATTTAAATTGTAATCTCTAAAAATGTTGCTAATTTTGGTGGCTTAGAAAACCTCTGTTTGAGTTGATCAGGTTGTAGCCTGTGAAATGTTGGTCCATGTCCCTCTTCATTAATCGTAGTTGCTTGATATTGGAAGAAATCTGGAACAGGCTGTCATCTACAGTAATCCAGAGCATCCCAAACCCGCTCATTGAATGATGTGATGAGCATGCTGGCCATCTAGAACTGGGTTTCGGTTGATCTCTTCATGGATGAACCCAGTGTTTCCTGTTCTGAGCAAACAGTGTAGTGTGGCTGAGCAGTTTGCTGATGTCAGCATTGTGGATCGAGACGCCCATGGTTGAGGTTATGGTGATGGGCAGGGGTATGTTATACACATTACGTGTACGACATTTTGAATGCAGAGATAAGATCCTGATAACGTTCATCCATAACCATTACCTCAAGTTGCAGCATGTTCCAGTTCCTGCTAATATCCTTACATTTTGTATTACAGCAAAGACCAACATTCCACAGGCCACAATCAACAACCTGATCAACTCTGAAGGAGATGTGTGAATGAATGATGTGAAGCATCTTTGAGTGTCCAAGAAAGTGCAGTATTATTCATTTCCATCTACCCACAGTGGCTCACATACATTCACCATTATCATCAAAGTAACATCATGGGTAACTTACCAATAACAGCGACCTTTACTTTTTCTATTTTCTCTGTACTTCCATCGTTTAAGATAAAGGTCCAGTGTCCGCGGTGTTGATCTGCAGCTTGTACTGTGACTCCTCCACTGTTCTTGTGTCCGTGTGGATCAACCCAGGAGATTTCCAGTGTGCGGACTGGATTTGTAACACTGCAGCTCAAGGAAAGTCTTTCTCCTACTAAGACAGGCGAGTCCACCTCCACTGTGTAAAACAGAAAAGGATGTCATTTTAATAGGACAAAGACTGTAATGAAGCTGGTTTAGGCAGTAGACATCCGCCTTAGTCAGAGGTGACAGATGATGGTGTGACATGTCTCTTATCAGTTGTTGTTTCCGTGTGTGGTCAGTCTGACAGATTGGGCTGTCAGACTGACCACACCTGGAGAAGAAGTGTCTCTTTTAAGACAGTATCCCAAGAGATGTTTTCTCTATTACCATTGATTTGAACGAGGCTGTACTCTTCTTTAGCCACTTCCTCAAACCTGTTTTTCACAGTGCAGCTGAAGATACCAAAATCTGCCTTCGTCATGTTGTGAATCACAAGTGCATTTGGAGACAAACGCACACGATTCTGCCATTCTACAAAAAACAGAAAACCATGGTTTGGTCAGAATATAAAAGTCTTCAGTCATATATACAACTGTACCTGGATTTATTTTTTTCCCTCCAAGAGGATTGCACCAACCAACTTGTCGATCACCAAAGTACCATTGCAAATATTTGTCTGAGCTGTAGTTCAGAGTTAGTTGAACATTTTCTCCGATCTGAGCGTAGACAACTTCCTTCGCCGCTGATGAGACACAAAGCTGATTAATGTGCAGGCTTTTTTATTCAGCATTTTAAGTATTTATTTAATTCCTTTATGTTTGAGGATTAAGTATCATATGTGCTCGTTTTCAGATGACATTTACTACTGTTATATACATGATCATGTAATATAGATGATTAATCTTAGCTTAAATCTGAGGAACCAGAATGTTCAAATATAAAACTCTCAGCAGGAAGGTTCAATAGTGAGTGATGTGCTTACAAGTGCACCATAATTCAAATATCTTTTATTATAATTGATGAAGACAATGGCAGCTCTCTAATTTTGATATCAAAGATGGGTGCTTGCACTACACTTTATGAAGAAAATACAGTTTACACCAATTTCTTTATGTACTATAATAATTTATATATAAACAAATCAAGTAAAACGTGGGTACTTGAGCTTTTACTCAAATATTGTTTTACATTTATATTAATGAACATTTATTGCCCATGACTTACCTGTTGTGTGAAAGCCAAGAAAGCAGAACAGGAACAACATTTGAGAGACATTCATTTTGGTCTGAGGAGAAGAAAAAAAACTTAAAGGAACCATTCTGTGGTAGAGTCAGCTGCTGCTGCTCTGCTGTGGTTAAAGGAAGAAATCAACATGAACTGATTTTCCCACAACGGCCTGAAATAAGGCTCCAGTAGAAAGCAATGAGACAGCAGATAGTGAAGACTGGATACCGTCTGCGTTAGCTAAGCAGCTAAGTCATAAATGTCACACAGTCACATTTGTATTTTGAGCCCAGTTAGTATCATTAAATTCATCTGGAATAAAAGAACACTGCAAATTGCAAGTTCAATTATAGATTGATAAAAAACAGGTTTTGGGGGAAAAAAGAAGGAAATTAGGAAAAGCAATGAGATGAACTTTCTTCGATCCACAATGCGGACTTTTCAGTGACAGAGCGGTGGGAATAGAAAGCATTCAAACAAGTGATTACAAACGTTAGAAGAGTAGCACATTTGCAATCAACAAAAAGCATGGGTTCAGAAAGTTTTACTCACTTTTATTTGGCTACAGATTTACCAAACAAATCATTTGTTTTAAAATAAGTTGAACAAACAATAAAAACTCCTGTATACAGCTGTCTCTCACCAGCGGTGGAGAAAGTACTTGGATAGAATAATAAACACAAATATTGTTTATGGCAATAAAGATGACATAGTTATATAATAAATGCCTTTTGTCATACAATTATTATGCACTTTATTCATTGTCCCCGTAGGGAAATTTGTCCTCTGCATTTGACCCATCCTGATGAAACTAAGGTCAGCAGCAGTGGTCGCTGTAGTACAGCGCCTGGGAACCCATTCCAGATGTTCATGCTCGGCTTGGTCAGGACTACCGGAGCTGGAGGATTTTACCCAGTGGTAGGGGAAACCGGAGCACCTGGAGGAAACCTACGCAGACACAGGGAGAACATGCAAACTCCACTCAGAAAGGCCCTGTTCCAACCGGGATTCAAACCCAGGACCTTCTTGCTGAGAGGCGAGAGTACTATCCACTCAGCCACCGTGCCGCACCCTATTTTTATCTATAAAAAATACATGCATCACTTTACTCCTTTAAAGTCGCAATTTGCTTTACTCAAACGTTTGCAGCTTAATGACGCCACACATTAATTTCAGTAATAAAGCTTCATAAAGGGTTAACTATGCTACTATGTTAATGAATCCAGCTTTAGAGCATAGCAAGGGCATTCTGCTTTCTTTTTGCCTCAACACCAACAGCTTTGCCCATACCATAAATGTTGTAGCCATGCATTTCTTTATTACGTTATTACATATGCAATCTCGTAGTTGTTTACTTTCACTCAAGTACAGGAATTACTTTTACCATATCTTTCTGCGCATGTAGCTGTACTTTTACTTCAGTCTGATGTCAGTGGTTAGAGGCAGTAGCTGAAGAGGGGCGAATGTTGCGGTGGTGCAGGAAGCAGCTGTTGGTTTGTTGGTGGTCTTAGACTGACTGAGATTATGAGATGAAAGAGAGCAGTGGTGCTGCGGTGAGGAGGGCTTCAGATGATCCCAGAGACTGTGGTTTTGGGGCCAGATCTAAACTTTGGATGGAGTTTCCTCTGTGCTTCCTCTGCCTCCTCTTCCTCTGTTCCACAAAACACAAGCAGAAGAGCAGCAGACCACAGCAAGGCGAACATGCACCAAATTTGTTCACCACGCAACAACTCTCATCTCATGTTAATGTTTTGTATTTACAGTACTTTCTGGACTAAGTACACCTGAATATTATCCTCACCAGCCGCATTTTAAGAAAATGTACATAGATAGGCACTTGAATATAAGGTATTCATTTTGTAATGTAATTTAACCATTAAATGCTAGACAGCTGGTTAAACTAGACAACATAATATAGTAGGCTTCCTCCGAGTGCTCCGGGGTCCCCTACCACAAGAAACATGTACAATAGGTATATTCTACAGCTCCAGTAGTCCTGACCAAGCCGAGCATCAACAACGCCGTTGTACTACGCCGTTGTACTACGCCGTTGTACTACACCGTTATACTACGCCGTTGTACTACGCCGTTGTACTACGCCGTTGTACTACACTGTTGTACTACGCCGTTGTACTACAGCGACCACTGCTCCAGATAGAGGCCCTAGAGGCATCTGGATGGGTCAAATGCAGATGAAAAAGATCAAAATCAAAATCCTTTCATGTACCCCAGAAGGCACTTTAACAAAACACATACATGAGCCACATCATTATATAAGATATGGACCATACAGGCTCTACTGAGGTCAAAGATCTTGACAAAAGTAGCGGCTTACACTCCATGTATTGAGAATGGCCCTTGGCGCATGATTATTACTGCATTATTTATCAGAGTGATGGTGGACTATCTTATTTTAATTAGAATAATTAAAATGAGATTTGTCATCTTTACAGATATGAGTGAACGTTATTTACAACATTAATATGAAAGGGATCTGTTGTTTAAAATTGAAACCAGCACATCAAAATATTTCTTTAAATTGGATTCATATCAGTGAATGTTTCCGAAGTCGGTCTCTTTTTACAGACATCAGCTCATAGGAAACATAGATATATATTATACAGAGTTGGTGAGAGAGGGTCAGCTGCTGAGCTTCAGTCAAACTGAGCCAGGACACTGAAAAAATGATGGCACTGGAGTCAAAGTTAGTACAGTTATGAATCGTACATGCAAATAAATGATAGTGGATGTTTATGGTATTTGCTTATTATAACATCTTGGAAAACCATAATTGTTCCCGCATATCAGCTTCCAAATATAGTATAGCCTCACAGCCAATTTCAGAAACATTGACAACTGACAGGAGTGAACAAAGAAAACCCTTAGATATATGTGTGAATGTTTGTGTCATGTACAATGTGAATAATGTCAATTACATTACTTGATTACAGTTTGTAATCTTGAAATAAAATAAATCAACATTGGCCTTAAAAATTCTCCTCATATGTAAAATTCTGTAATTGACTTATGAACAAAATATATATTGCAGACTTATTTATATATGTCGTATATAATATAAATTGACTTTATCGAGCCGGCTCACCTCAGTCTTGCTCCACTGATGCTCTGTGACTGCGGCGCGATCGCTGCATCTGTGATCTCCTAAACACTGGTTCCGCCTCGCTGCTCTGAATACATGTGGAACATCGAATCATAACAATACATTACTGTATATATAATTTTTTCATCTTTAATTCAGACACAAAAAAGTCTATATAAAACAAAAAAACAAATAGAAACAAATAGCACGCAACCAGATAGTTCCTCAACAGCTTCCAGAGTTCAGAACTGATGTAAGAACATTCATGAATCTAATTTAACGAGATCTCAGAGCGTTTCATAAACTTGGACAGAAGGTTTCTGATCACAGCCTTCAGTGTGGGCACATTATTGTGAAAAAAGTTAAAATATATTTTGTAGATAATGTTTTATAGCTTTTTAACAACGGTAAATCTTCGCATGAATCTCATAGTGATAATGAAATACAAGGACTTTTTGAATTGTTTCAAATATTTTTGATATAACAAAATCTATTTGAATAATTATGCCTTGACCCAGAAATGGATCAATCAAATGGGAAGACAATGACATGATATGACATATTTGAAAAATTAAATTCCATTTAACAGTCGTCTCGGAGGACTTCACAAAGTCAAACACAGGAAATGCAATAAAAACAAACGCAAAAGGAGCCATTGTCATGGAGCAGGATGACCACTGTCCATAAATATTCTTTAATAATAATGCATTGGTTTTATATGGCGCTTTTTTGGACACTCAAAGATCCCTTACATGTCATTATTCATTCACTCCAAATACAGTGGTGATAAACTACTACTATACCCACAGCTGCCCTGGGGCACACTGACAGAAGTGAGGCAACCAGTCTGTGCCATCAGCCCCTCCGACCACCGCAGCCGCAGTCGCCCCACTGTGGCTAAGGTTAAGTGATCTTGCCAAGGACACAACGACAGCAGATAGTGGGAGTTGATGGTGAAAGTCTTGAGGTGGGCTCGAACCCACGACGTTCTGGCTCAAAGGCCAATGCTCTACCAACTGAGATACTGCCGCCCTACATGCATACTGCATGGACTAGCACAGTGATCATTAATCACACATGTTGAGGAACACTGGTATAAATCACTATAGAAGGAAGTTCCTGTTCTGTGGTGTTAATACTAATGTAGCACGCTTATTTCAATAGAAAACTTTATTTTGAAATGTGTGCACTTGTCATCTCAACCTTCTCCCAGTAGGAGAATATTGGCAGAATATACATAATTATAAATAACAAAAAAATACATAATGAGGTCTGAATCCTCAAAAAAACAGGAGGACTGTTTTAAAAAATCTGTGCTGGTTTTAAACTTTGCTTTTTTTTAAATCAGTGTCATTATAAACTGTAAATGTTTCAAGAATAATAAGATAGCAGCTTCACTTATATGCTATAGTCTATGTAAGGACCGGCATCACATCCAACTGTAACCATCTGAACGTTTTGTTTGCCAAATGTATTCTGCGTTTATTTTATTCTATTCATTATTTTTACACAATGGTTAGAGTCATGGCAGTAAATTAACTCAAAATATGTAAAGTTGTGACAGGACCTAAAGACATAGTTAGTTTTATGTCAGTCAAAAGTGGCTGGCATATTTTACTCCCATAAAATCTAGGAAATAAGAAGCTTCACAGCATTTTCTAAGCAGGTGCCATTTTTTGTAAATGTTAAATTGTCCGTTTTGGCTGTTGAAACGAGAAACCTAATCAGTCAGGCATTAAATCTGACATAAACAAATGCAGATATTCTCTTTTGCAGGAGTGAAAAGTATTGAAAAGGAAGTCAGCGTTGGCTTACTGCAGTGAACCACAACATATAGATGTCAAACCAAAACTGCAAACAGCACCACAACACCTGCTTTTCTCACATCACAACGTCTCCCCAACTAAAGTGCTGAGGATACACAAATGTTGGAAGACTATACATTTTATCATTTCACACACAAGAGTGGATCATCTAAACTATCATTCTGGTGATTTGCATAAACACTTTGCTTGGGATGCCAAATGTTATTATGAAAATATAATAAAAACAATGTACAAACTAAAAGCTATGTGAATCACCCGACTGTATCTTGCAGTTCGTCGTCTGAACATGGGTCTGACAACAAAGGCAGCATTGTATGTTTACATTTAACAGAGAGGACAATGTTTTTTTCTTATAGGCCCCAAAGGTTTTAACAAAGACTCTTATGATAAAGTTGTAAATATTATTGTATGGACTGTTTAACGGCTTTTTGTGTGTGCTACCTATGGATAGGGCTGTGTGTTTTCCTTTCATGTTTTATTCCCTGTTTTTATGGATGCATTTTTTTTTTTATTGATTCTTTATTTGGTCATACCCCTCAGTAAACTATTTTAACTTGTGACAGTTTTAAATGCCTGTAACTTGAAGTTAGATTGGACACATAATTGTTCTTCTTATTCACCTGATGCTATGGAGCAGTGAAGTGTTAAAATATATTAATATATACAGTCTATGGTTGAACATCGATGAACATAGGACTAGCAGTGATCATTGTTGCAGATTTAGCTTTATGAAAGTATTAAATCTCATTAATTACGACAAATTAGTGAAAAGTTATTATCATTCAATACTAAACTAATTCAATAATGTATTTAAATTATGTTTATAGGGTGGGAGTCTACAACTTTTTACTTCTTTCCCACTCCATTTTGAGCTGACGAATTGTACATAAATATACATTTGTAAATGTTTATTGAAATTGTATATGTGCTTGATTTCAAGTATAGATGTAAATGCATTTTTTTTTTCAATTTATATGTGAAAGAAAACAGTAATTTTGTTAGAAATATGAATGTTGTATATGCTGGTACATGGGTTAGGCACTTAGACTGGAGCAGAGGCTGCTTTGTGCAGTGTCTCGCCGCAGCTGTGGGACTGAGATAAAGACGACAGAGTTCAGAGATTTCACACTAATTAAGCTAAATAATGGAGTGTGGCATCAATGTGAAGGTCAAACTGATACTGATTAAAGTTAGCACTGAAGGAAAATGGCAGCTGCGAGACTTTATATGGTCTTATTCTAAAGTCTGATATTAATAGTTTAGTAAGAAAATCCCACAATAAATCAATCTAATCGCTTTTGAAACTTGACTTCTGTCCCCTGGTCATCCAGACTGATCGATGTCACTCTGGATGATCAGATTTGAAAATGACTTTTGGAGTTGAAAAATAGTAGCAGATGAAATGACTGATAGAGAAAAGTTTTCTACCAATGAACTCAGTTTGAAAAATCAAAATCAATAGTAATAAACCAATGTTGATTCAACACATTTTAAGTTATAAATAAATGTGTTCCTTAGGGAGATTGTAATGTTCTCCATTAGATTACATCTAAGTCACAATCACCAGAATACTGAAGGATTTAAGAGATTTTCATTGGAAATATAGCAGGAAAAAATGATGTGTTTTTCAACTATATTTTTGAGTCGGCAGATGCTGTTACCTTTCGACTTGTCCTCTGATTGTAAATTAGGAGGATTAGTGCCCAGAGCAGAAGGCCCAGGCAGCCTGCCCCCAAAGCAGCCCACACCCACCAGCTGTGAGGAGGGGAGCGGAGGCTGCCATCCACGCCTGAAAAACAGACTTTATCCATCAAAAAAACATTTAACATGAAGTCAAACATGATAATGTTAAATCGAGGTTTCTACTTTAAGGCTTAAGTGTTCTGATGCTTTGCTTTGAATGTAATCTGAATTCTTGTATTGGGTTGGTTCTCCTAAACTTCAGTGATATCTGTACACTACCCTGTAATGTACTCAAAAAATCAACCAGATCCAGATGTTGCATAAATACTCACAGTCCAAGCAATATGGTGTTTTGACCCTCATCTGGGCTTTACAACCGTGCTGAGGTTGTACAATTTTATTTACAAAATATAGCTGTTCCAACTCTGTCAATGAACATAGTCTGAGGATTTGTCCGAGTGTACTGATGTTAAACTCAAAGCTTTGAGAAGGAACGCTGCGTTCAGACTTAGTGCCAGACGTTTATAGAGTGAATGGGGCTAAAAACGACTCCACATACTGTAGTATGTTTGACACACTCCCAGGAGCCGAGTCAGGCCGGCCACAGGGTTCAGGGCCATGACCGCTGTCCTGGTGGTGGTGGTCCTGTCCACCAGGCCACAGAGCCTTCAGCAAGTCAAGACATGTCACAGTTGAGGACGGGTCTGAGGCCCCGCTCCAACGGGCTGGCCGGGGCCACATGGACTTAAGACACAAGACCACTGGAATCATTTACAAGACACATGTCTGGCAGCTCTGACTGCCACCCCCCGACCCAGAAATGGATTAAGGGGAAGAAAATGGATGGATGGATGGATGTCTGGCCATTTCCAAACACAATGGACAAAACAATGGAAACACTGTTTCTGTTAAAAATGTAATGTGTTGGTTCTCAAACTCATTTCATCACTGGTCACAGAAGTAGCAACATGTGTGTGTGCTCTCCATATCGATAAAAAATAAATATGATGCATTATTTTTGACTGTTCACTTTGTAATGTCATGTTTCATGATGTGAAATCATAAAATAAAACATATGGTGAAACAAGTGTTACCAGGAGAAAATGTTTCCCAAATTTAAAAATGACCAAAATCAACTACATGTGACATTTCTCCTGAAAAACTGTCAAAACTCATTCATGGAGAGTACTTCTGATTGAAAATGAAGAGAACTGCTCTGAGCGTAATCTGAGTGGTACAATAACATTGTACGTATACAAGACTGAGACGGAAGTATTTGTGCCAGAATACACCGATATTAGTGAGGATGCTATAAAAAAAAAAAAAAAAATGTTGTAACTGTAGTGATCAAATCAGTAAGCATAAATATTTAATCTTTTGCAATGATCTACTAATCTATGTTACAGCTGTAGTACTTTAAATGTGTTTCTGTGGTGGAAAGATTAATGAATACATTTTTCATATATACCAAAGTTTGGTTTTTTTACGTAAAAAGAAAAAGTCCATCTACATTCCTCATATTGGAAGCACTGGCCTGCTGATGTCTGTGCATTTAGAGGTTTAAGATTTAAAGGAAATTGGCGCAAAAGTCCCCTTATAATTACATGGATAAAAGTCACAAATATACAGGTTTAAAAAAGCACAATAACCCCCAAGAATCGACACAATGCAGTAACATATTTGCATTTTTTTTCTTTTCCACTCCTTCAGATACTCCATAATAGTCATGTAAGTGAATAACCTAAAGCTCCAATGATGCAACATGAACCATAATGATTTTGAAATAGTATAAAACTCACCTGCAACAAACAGCACTCTCTTTATTTCTTAAAGTCCTGGAAAAGGAAAACAAAACACAGAAACTGTTTGAAGAACTTCTGCTGTAGTATCTTTATTTATTCATTTCAAAATACTAGTACTTTTGAAAACTTAAAAAAAAATATATATATATATAAAAATGAGAATATATATGACAAATCTATGAAATATACATTGCGAAAGTATTCTGTGTGAACCTTTCAACATTTCAGGCTTCAAACATAAAGATATAAAAAATACATTTTTTGTCAAGAATCAACAACAAGTGGAACACAATCGTGAAGTGGAACAACATTTATTGGATAATTTAAACTTTTTTAACAAATAAAAAACTGAAAAGTGGGGCGTGCAAAAGCTTGGGGTATGTCTATCAGTTTTGCACATCGAAAGACTGGAATTCAGCTCTTTCCACAGATTCTCGATTGGATTCAGGTCTGGACTTTGACTTGGCCATTCTAACACCTAGATAAGTCTATTTGTGAACCATTCCATTGTAGATTTGGCTTTATGTTTTGGATCATTGTCCTGTTGGAAGATAAAGCTCCGTCCCAGTCTCAGGTCTTTTGCAGACTCCAACAGGTTTTCTTCCAGAATGGTCCTGTATTTGGCTCCATCCATCTTCCCATCAATTTTAGCCATCTTCCCTGTCCCTGCTGAAGAAAAGCAGGCCCAATCCATGATGCTGCCACCACCATGTTTGACAGTGGGGATAGTGTGTTCAGGATGATGAGCTGTGTTGCTTTTACGCCAAACATATCGTTTTGCATTGTGGCCAAAAAGTTCGATTTTGGTTTCATCTGACCAGAGCACCTTCTTCCACATGTTTGGTGTGTCTCCCAGGTGGCTTGTGGCAAACTTTAAACGAGACTTTTTATGGATATCTTTGAGAAATGGCTTTCTTCTTGCCACTCTTCCATAAAGGCCAGATTTGTGCAGTGCACGACTGATTGTTGTCCTATGGACAGACTCTCCCACCTCAGCTGTAGTTATCTGTAGTTCATCCATAGTGATTATGGGCCTCTTGGCTGCATCTCTGATCAGTCTTCTCCTTGTTTGAGATGAAAGTTTGGAGGGACGGCCGGGTTTTGGTAGATTTGCAGTGGTCTGATATAGAACTCAAGATGGCGCCAGCAGTGTACACGGCACTCCGTCTCCCTGTCCTATTTGGAGTTTTGTTAATTCTATGGATTTGTGTCTACTGCTCTAATGTCTCTGCATCACTTGTGTATGACCGCAGGGCATTACTAAATATTCGGACTTCGTATGAAACCTACTTGAAGCACTGTTTTGCCAAACAGGATTCATGTCCACCACCACCGCCACTTTTAGCTTCTATACCGGCTCACCTGCGCGTTGCTCCTCTTGGTGCGCTTCGTAGGAAACGCAGGAGAGGGAAACGAGGTGACATCCTGGTAAAAGTTAGAGCCTACCAACGTGCCAAAAAAGGCTTTTCTCCACATTATGGTCACGCTTCTGGAGATCTTCATCGGCGCTGGCTTGTCCCTATACCGCTGATTGGAGCCCCTATCGGGACTCACCCGATGTCAACGCCGCCTTTGGAGTGGATCAGTCCCCGGAGACGCAGAGCTAGCCGCCCAGGAGTAAACCAGGAAAACCTTTGCATGCTAACCCATGCCCGCATGCCTAACAATGAGGACTTTCTTCATATTGCGTTAATGAATGTCAGATCATTAGCGAATAAGACCTTCGTACTCAATGATTTTTTTGTATCTCGTCATTTGGATCTAATGCTTTTGACAGAAACTTGGATTCGGCCCGGTGAGTGTTTAGCCTTTTCTGAGCTCCTTCCTCCTGACTGTGACTTTATTAGCACTCCTCGTACCTCTGGCAAAGGTGGAGGGCTTGCCACTGTATTTAATTCTGTTCTTAAATGGCGTCAGTATCCATCAAACTCCTTCTCGAGCTTTGAACTGCAGCTATTTGTGATACAGCGTAGCGTGCCTGTGTTGTGCGCACTCATTTATCGTCCGCCTAAATTCAATAAAGATTTTATCGTGGACTTTTCGGACTTTTTAGCAGGAATTGCTCTTAAATTTGACCATTTTCTAATAGTTGGTGATTTTAATATCCATGTCTGTTGTGACTCCAAGCCTTTGGTCAAGGATTTTATAACTGTGATTGACTCTTTTAATCTGACGCAGTGGGTCAGTGGCCCCACGCATGAAAAGGGGCACACACTCGATCTCGTTCTATCCTATGGTTTGACTGTACGCATCGAGGATCTCTGTAATACACAGATTTCGGATCATATACCTGTTTTGTTTTCACTGAATCTTCCCTGCCCTTTGGCTCCATGTGCCATGGCGCGCAGGCGACGCGTAATCACGTCCTCCACAGACCGCGGTAAAGAGGTCCGGCTTTCCAGAACCAGCGGTAAAGAGGTCCGCACGTAAAAAGAGGGGTGTCACATTATGCTGTTACTTACGGTAACACAGGAAAGCGAAGCCGCGGGGATGGGCCGCCACAATGCATTTTTTAACATGATTCTTTTTTTATACATAAAAAACCTTAGAAAAAGCTTTCACTGCACACTTGTTCACTGTGAAGCCCTCTATTATTGTGCAAAGTCACATTCACTTTTACTGTGGAAATTCCTAGAAAATAGGGGTCAAAGTGTGCAATAATGATCCAAAATGCACTTTTTAACCTGGATTTTAAAAAAAAGTAAAAAACCTTAGAAAAAGCTTTCACTGCACACTTGTTCACTGTGAAGCCCTTTATTATTGTGCAAAGTCACATTCACTTTTACTGTGGAAATTCCTAGAAAATAGGGGTCAAAGTGTGCAATAATGATCCAAAATGCACTTTTTAACCTGGATTTTTAAAAAAAGCAAAAAACCTTAGAAAAAGCTTTCACTGCACACTTGTTCACTGTGATGCCCTCTATTATTGTGCAAAGTCACATTCACTTTTACTGTGGAAATTCCTAGAAAATAGGGGTCAAAGTGTGCAATAATGATCCAAAATGCACGTTTTAACCTGGATTTTAAAAAAAAAGTAAAAAACCTTAGAAAAAGCTTTCACTGCACACTTGTTCACTGTGATGCCCTCTTTTATTGTGCAAAGTCACATTCACTTTTACTGTGGAAATTCCAAGAAAAAAGGGGTCAAAGTGTGCAAAAATGATCCAAAATGCACTTTTTAACCTGGATTTTAAAAAAAAGTAAAAAACCTTTGAAAAAGCTTTTACTACACACTTGTTCACTGCGATGCCCTCTACTATTGTGCAAAGTCACATTCACTTTTACTGTGGAAATTCCAAGAAAATAGGGGTCAAAGTGTGCAATAATGATCCAAAATGCACTTTTTAACCTGGATTTTTAAAAAAAGTAAAAAAACCTTAGAAAAAGCTTTCACTGCACACTTGTTCACTGTGATGCCCTCTACTATTGTGCAATGTAAACATTAGTTGATAAGTAAAATGAGAATGTTAGGGTGGTAATAGCTTATAACTTATGAATGTTCTATGTTTATTTATGTCATTTTTTCCATATAAACTAAAACTAAAAATGCAAAAAGATTTGCCCAATGCCTATATAGTCTGTCTGTACTATAGGAACATAAAGTATTAAAGTGATCGTCCGCAGTTTGTCAGAAAAAGAGAGAGAGAGGTACTTGATTTGAAAGAAACGACGCAAGCTCCCTCCCCCTTCCTTTCTGATTGGTCTACGCTCGCGTTTCCTTAACACTTATAAATGTTAATTAGAGAACACATTATACATATACATCATTAATACACATGCACGGAGGATTTCAGAATGATTGGTTAGCGTTTTAATGAAAAAAATAAATAAATTATGTACAAAAGAAGAGGTCGCGGCAAACCCGGGACAAGCTATTATCATGAATTGAACATTATAGGACACATCTGCAGAGGACCTGATTATGGATATAGGTTCAGTATATATCTGATTATGGATATAGGTTCAGTATATATATGACTATGGATATAGGTTCAGTATATATATGATTATGGATATAGGTTCAGTATATATATGGGTACCTCAGCACGGATGTTCAGAATTCTTTTTTTCAGTTTTCTTGTAGTTCCAGAGCCTAAAGGCTTGATTCGGAGGCTCCGCGAAAACAAACAACTGAGCATGAGCAGCTACGAGCATCAGCGCAGATGATTGACAGCTCTTGGCATGACTCGATTGGTTAACCTCGATGGCATCGTGGATTCTGAGCTATAGCTTAGAAAAGGGAAGGTGGGACTTGCCCGTAAAATTAGAAATAATAAAATGACTTATTTCATATCAACATTTAAGGCCAGGAGGTCAATTTAACACCTACACATTTTTTACACATTTTCCTAAAATGTGTAATTCATTTAGAGTTGCATACTATCACTTTAAGTCCCAGTCGTCAATTGAAAAAAAATTAAAGGAGCGACTTGGAAGTCCATCGTAATATCAAATTCACCCAAATAAATGTGTGCAGGATTCTTTCAGATCTTTTGGCACAGTTGAAGGGTCATCAATTCTGGACTATTCATAGAAAACTAAGAAATGCATTATTCATCATTTTTCAAAATACTCATGTATTTTGTATTCATTTTTCCTTTTTTCCAGATACAATGCAGCATGTGCCAAAAATGGTACCATGAGGAGTGCTTGGCCATAAACCCATGTGAGCGGAAAAAAGCAAAACAGCCAGAAACGTTATGGCATTGCTGCCTGTGTCCAAAAAAATCATTGAGATAACCTGGCATCTCAACCTTTTGATGCATGTTTTTTATTTTCTTACTGTCACGGTTACTGGTTTCTCAAATCCGTTCATAAAAAAAGATTGGACACGAATATTGGTGTTTTTTTTTTTTTTCTGAGAGTGTACAGTGAAAGTTTAGAATATTTCTTTTCAGAGTAGTAGAGGACATCACAGTGAACAAGTGTGCAGTGAAAGCTTTTTCTAAGGTATTTTACTTTTTTTAAGAATCCAGGTTAAAAAGTGCATTTTGGATCATTATTGCACACTTTGACCCCCCTTTTCTTGGAATTTCTACAGTAAAAGTGAATGTGACTTTGCACAATAGTAGAGGGCATCACAGTGAACAAGTGTGTAGTGAAAGCTTTTTCTAAGGTTTTTTACTTTTTTTTAAAATCCAGGTTAAAAAGTGCATTTTGGATCATTATTGCACACTTTGACCCCTTTTTTCTTGGAATTTCTACTGTAAAAGTGAATGTGACTTTGCACAATAATAGAGGGCATCACAGTGAACAAGTGTGCAGTGAAAGCTTTTTCTAAGGTTTTTTATTTAAAAAAAAAAATAAACATGTTAAAAAATGCATTGTGGCGGCTGATCCTCGCGGCTTCTCTTTTCTGTGTTACCGTAAGTAACAGCGTAAAGCGGCAACCCGCTAGAAATGTGTGGGCCTCTTTACTGTTGACTCCGAAAAGCCGGACCTCTTTACCGCGGTCTCCACAGCAGAGGCATTCTCTAATGCCTTTGTTTCTTCTGCCCCTTCACTGTCGTGTGACTCCGATACTGATGCGCTAAATTGTTTGTTCACGTCTACGTGTACTGTAATTCTGGATTTAGTTGCTCCTTATAATACATGTAAGCTGTAGTCAATAATTCCCTTTGACTAACGTGTTTCAAAATGGATGCAGAAGTAAGGCAAACGATGTTCAAGTTTAACATCTGCATTTAATTATCTTTACAATCAGATACAGAATGTTCAACAGAAGTGCTCCTATTCTCTGCCTGGTCTTTCCCTGTCCGTGCCCTGTCCTGTCTGACCTCAAAAAACACACACACACGGGCTCATGAGGGAGACTTCCGATGACGTCATCCTTATGCGTCCAAGGGTGGAGGTTTCCGGGTGTGCTGACGTCCCCTATCCACTGGGAGGCGTCAGAATGCAGTTGGTGAATCTCCCAGTCTGCCTCAAGATCAGGTTCTGTACTTTTGTCCTCGTCAAAATGTTTATTATTTAAAGTTAATAATTCGCCCTGTTTAAACAGCATTTTATCTTTATGACTCATGTCTGATTATCCTGTGTCCTTGGGGTTTTTCCTGAGTGCACAGAGGTCTTTCTGGCTATGATGTTCAAATGGTCAAATATTAAAATATACAACAGTTCCCCTCTGTTGACCTATATTAAACCAATTTAGGTCACAATCTTTCAATATTCCTCCTGGGTGCCGAGACTGGGGAGCTCGTCCATCATCGCCTTGGTTCTTGGTTCTGGCTCGTTATCTGTGAAGAATTAATACAAAAAGAATACACACACAACAACATTCGAAACATTCCTTCACAAAACTCTTCGATGACCACTGCTGTCATTCTGATTCTTCTTCAACCTCGTCTGTAATGTATGCACTAAAACTATTCACTATAGTTTAAACTATTCTAATCTATTCACAAATATGTTTGCATATTTTGCTTTTATTGAGCCCTATTCTTAAACATATGTTTTTATCTAATAAATCTATCTATACTGTGGTTTGCTGTCCTTATCAGTGGCTCTGTGCCATTTTGTGGGGCTTTGCTCATTTTTCCAAACACATTTTGTTGAACCAGGAAGTGCTGTCACTTCCTTCTCTCAGACCGTTTGGGATAAATGTACATCGTTAATCAAATTGGTATTATCCGTACAGGAGCTAATCCATTTTAGCAGGTTTCTCTGGGGTCAGTCCCTATACAACGGTATTTTGATTCTCTAATCTGTTGCTGACAAATCGACAGCTCTTAAAATTCTCAAAACTACCTAAAGATCTACTTTTGTGCTATACCCAAATACATTAAAATGCTTTCAAATGTTTTTGAATCTGTGTTGGTTCTAATCGATCTCATTAATCTATCTCATTAGCTTTTTGCATTGTCAACATTCACCCATGTTTGAAACAAGTGAATTTGACAGTATCTAATAAAACTGTGCATAAACTGTAATGAACTTTATCTACCTTTGAAGTAAATACTTTTAGACATAATATGAAGGAAATGGTCCTTTTACCGTTTGATATTAGCCTTGGCTAAAAATAATCTCTATTTTTGAAAGCATCTATGGTTGATGCATTTATCTATTCCTATTTTTACTCTATTGTGACTCTAAAGCTCGGTTGCAGCTTGAGCAAAGGCATATTCCCAATTTTTGAGTTCTGATTGTAACAATTGCATTGGCAATAGACGATTTTTTATCGGCCGGTTCTTGTTCTGCAAATCATTATTCTATGTATTGTATTTCAGACAATTCCAAAAAAACAACACAGTCGTTCTCCAATATTAAAGACATACATCTAAATCAAGTTGCCTGAAAGGGATTTTAACTATTTTAAAACGTTCTCTACGATTATAAGGCTATGAAATTAATTATTTAATAAACAAAAGCACATTCATGGCTTCTGTCCACTGCTTATAACTGTTTAAAGAGTTGTCCCAAACTTAATGTGTGTAAATACATCAGCTGTTTGTACTAAACAATAACATTTAACCTGTTCTCCAATGGAGCAGCTCAGAGGCTGCGTCAAGAGCAATGTTATATTTGAGCTATTTTTAGATTTAAAATTGTGTTAAAGCCTGTCGTTCTATGTCTGCATTTTAATACTACTCTCTATAAACACCTCTGCACCAGTTCCTACAGATGTGGAAAACAGAAACATCTAAAATCTGACTCCATTTGATTCCTTTTTACTTTAGTTATTAGAACAATTTGACCTTATTGATACTTATTTCCACAATAGAACTATTTTGATTATTCACTAGTCTAACTATTATTACTATTGTTTATTCTGACACTTCAACCTATAGCTCCTCGAATCCAATGACATTATAGCTCCAGACTATTTCATTCTATTCTATTATTATCTTATTATTATATGATCTATTATCTTAGAGTAGATCCGTTTGATGTT